TCACAGTCTTGCGATGCGTGAATAATTTACGAAAATTTTCAATTAGGACTCACTTATCATTTAATGTTCACAAATTTGCATATTATCGTCCCTTTGCCTCAATATTTTTCTCTGGATATTTTCGCAAGAGAGATCTTTATTACTTGTGTCCCCGCTTTTCCCCGCTTCGCCACGCGAATAAATTCCTGCGATGCGCATTCGCCGCTCATCTCATCAGCCTTATCAATGGGAGCATCGATCCAATCAGTCGCTAATCAATTGCCCGCGTCAAAGAGGAGGCTTTAATTGCCATCCCCTCGGATGCACCCGTGCGCCATCACTCATCCGGCATTGTCATCTCGGGCTGCTGTGGCCAGAGGTCATGAGATTGCGCGTGTCGCCCGGACGGCACGCCAATATGCGGTATAATTGCGATGCTGGTACACTCAAGACGCGGCCAAGAGTGATGAGATAAAAGTTATCAAGTGCTTTTCGGATGCAGAGACACCGCGATGGTATTGGCGCATATTTGTATGTAAATTGCAATGGAAATTGCCGCAATTATCTCCGGTAAGCCATGGCTTCAATTAAAAGCTTTGCTCTCCCGTGGCCTTTGACGCGTGAGCCAATTTTTTGGCATTTGGCAGTCACGACGCGTGCCCGCTTCTCATTATTTATTTTAACGCGGGCATTATCGCTTAGCACAAAAGAGCGTCTCCTCCGTTTGACGGTCTTAAAGGCACTTTTTTATTCACTGTCACTCCGACACTCATTGGCAGCCATACAAAAAGTGCTCAGATCGTGCCCGATGAAAATCTCTAAATTATGTTAATTCCCATGCTCTGTGGCATTAACCATTTGATTGGAATTCCCTCCCTGACCGTGTCGGAGGTTTGAGAAGAAAAAAAGAAAACTGTGCACGAGAGGAGCGCACAATTTATTATTTCTCCGTGTGTTTGCAGAAGCTGGCGGAGAGAGGAAAAAAAAAGTGGACTCTTTAGGTAGAATTAAGACATTTCTGCTATCATTAAATTAATAATTTGCCTTCCTCTGCCATTTTTTTCCACCGCGCATTTGCCTCAGCAAATTGAACTCCTTTTAATTTGTTGATTTTTATGCAGATGAAGACGTGCGGTCATTAAATTCAATTGTAGACCTTTAGCGCTATAATGGCGAACAGAAAAAATCCTACCCGGTGGTTTCATTTACGATTTCTGCAATTACAACCTTCCGATGGGCTCGCGATGGCTCACCATTAGTCAGTTGTCTGTTGAGCATTATCAAAGGACATCGAGGCAGAACGACGAGCCGAGCCCACCCAGATATAATTTCTAACATGAACAATTTATGCATCATAATGCCGTATAAACTGTCAAGAGAGTGTTTTTATCTCCGGTGAGCCGTTTTGGGGGGCCAAACTTCTCCGGCAGACGAGATGGATAAGACGCCGATGGAGAATTGGTGACTAAACGCCGTAATTGCAGACTTTGTCAGTGCACGGACCCGTCATTATATATCAATTAAGGGGGGATCTTGTTAAACGCATCCTAAGACTCCACGTGAATTAGTGCTGCACAGCAATAAGATATCAATTATATTGCCCTCCAGACATTTGGACCTCTTTTCCAGTAAGTCGCAGGGAATCTAACTGGGTGGTAAATCGACCAGCAATGAACTTCAATTTGGAATTTGGAGCAATTTTTTGCCGCTTCTAGAAGAATGTGCAATGCAAACAGAGAGATAAACGCCCAAATTAGCGGTCTTTCTTCAATTTTTAGGGCAAATGAGTGGCATTAAGGTGAATTTGAACTCTGGACGAACCATATTAAAAATCATTGCACGCGTAGAAGAAGTGCAACTTTTACTTTATCTCCCTTTTCGATGCACTTTCTTGACGAACAGCGCGATCCAAGGAGCGATCGAATTTGGAAGATCAGCGCAGCAAAAAAATCAATTTAATATTTTTCCTCTCTAAGCCTAAAGCATTTTATGTGCCACGCATAAAACCGAAGTGTAAACAAGGAAGAGAGGAGAGACTTTCTTCCTTTATCTCTACCCTCGAGAGGACAATTTTTGCCAATGTATTTTCGTCGTGATGCGAATTTCAAAGAGATTCTCTGTGACGCAAAAACTCGATACTTGTACAATTTCTGCTCAGGTAGCAAAAATCTTCAATCACGCTATTTATCTTGGGAGGATCTTTTTATCAGACGCCCAGGATCTGTGAGAGAATTTCCCTCGATCGGCCTTTGTTGCGTGTCTTTACGAACCCTGATGATGGAAGGTTATATATAAGAAAATATTTGTTCAGCAAGTTTTCGAGCGAAAAATCCATCGATTCACCTCTCTTTTTCTTGAAGGATATTTTATGGATTTTAATGTATTTTTTTTCTCCCTTTCATCTCCTTCGTGGATGAATTATTCTCATTCCCTTCTTTTTGCCGAAGATAAATAAATATTGATCAACTTCCTCCTTTCTGGAAATTCGATCTTTATGGCCCGAGACGAAATTTGAGGAATTTTTGCAGAGCTCTTAGATTTCCCAGGAAAGATACATAGGAATGTTTTTTTTTGTCTACGACGACGAAAAGGGTTAATTGCGATCGTTAACCCAAAAAATGTCCAGAAGCAAAACGACTTTCGGGACTTTCTCTGGTCCGTTTCTGGTGATTCAGGATAGTTGGGAAAAATCTTAGTGATAAATGGAACTTTTATTTTAATGCAGTGAATTTTCTGGATGAATTTTTCATGCTCTTTTTTGTCTGCCTTGTGAATTGAGCAATAAGGCGAATATCGGTGGGATTAATATTCTCTGACTATGACAGGCATTGGCTGTCCTTCGCGCTGTTCTCCCTCTGGCTCTGGCTCGTTTCCGAGGGAGAGCAGCTCAGGGGGTTCACGATATTCGGGAAGAGGCAGATGTTCCGAAACGCTGGAAGTGCTGTGATTATTCACTTGGGGATGTCGCCGTCCCGCTCTCGCTCCCGCGGCGCAACGCGATCACGGGAATCTAGCTTGGCGATGTGATCTAGGCGGAGTTTGACACGCTTATTCCACGCGACTGTGATGCATTTTGCACTGTTAGCAAAAATTCGGAAAAACATCCCTGAGAAGTGTTTGAAAATATTTTTACACGATTGTTTTTAAGAGAAGAACAAGAGGAAAATGTGCCTCACAATTTCCCAATTGATTATTAAGTTTTTTTATTTACTAATTTTGTATTTCTTCCAGCTGCTTTCAGTTCATTTCCACAAAATCTGAACGATTTTTTATTTTCCTCCACCAACTTTGCGCGTTTGACAGTGTAAAATTTGAACAAATGCATCTGAATTTCCTGCGATATTTGCAACATTCACAGGGATGACGAGGGTTTTCGGGTAGGGGTTGCTGGAAATTCCCTCAGCAACCCTAAAGCCACAGAGCCCAGAAATTTATACAGACCAAACTGCGGGAACAATGCGAAAAAATTCTTGCACCCCTGAAAATTGTGAATCACGAGCATGTTATTCAATGATTTGCACAACAAAGGCCGTGATGGGATTTTAAAGAATGAAATGACGGGGTTGATGGGACTTGTTTTCCATTAAATGTCCCTGAAACAGTTTCCGCCAGATGACCCGCGCGTGGAAAATTCCCTGGAAGAGCGCGCGAGCGCAAGCAAATTGCGCCAAAAGGAGATGGAAAAATTGTCATGTCTCGACGACAAACAGATCCTTTTTGGGGTTCGAGGAGAACATGAAACAGAAGTGGATGTGTTTTCTTCGAGGTGTCAAAAATCATTTATGGCCATTGAGTGCCTGTCTGTGTCCCATGAGAATTTTCGGCTCGAGGAACATTTGGGCAGGAAAAAAATCGAACATATGGGAACAGGCATGAGGCTCAGATGTCTTCGAGAAATGCTCACAAATCTCACCATTCTTGTGTCTGTGCGCCTTTAAATGTGCCCAAGGAGTGGAAAATTCAAATACCTCCGGCCGAAAGAAAAACGTCTTGCCAGACAATAACAGTGCGATGGAAGAGAATTACCTCAAAATTTAATTCATCCCATCTTTTTCACACTGCCACAAAGTGAAAGAGACAACCTTGGGCCTTTTATTGCGCAGGTAAATGAATTTCCTACTCGCATGAGAGATCGTATTTTTATGTACAGCATATTTGGCACATAAATTCAGTTACATGTCCTGCTTTTTGATCCCCTACGATCGGCTCTGTGTGCGTGCGCACAATTGTTACCCTCCATGGAAACTCTGCACAGCTCAACGGTAAACTCTGGAGGGAAGAATTCAATTTTCCCCTCGACTCTCTGTGAATTTTACCCGCGAACAGAACTTGTGATCAGCCGTGTGAGAATGAGCGGGAAAGGTGAGGGGCTAATCAATGCTGCAAAGTTAAATATATTGCGGGAACACAAAATTGCACACTTTTCCTCTTCATTCTAGGCAAAGCCAGCAGGATCTATGCGTGAAGGCTTCGCTTAAGAGCCCCTCGCAAAGGTAAAGTTCCTGGCGAAGCGAAAAGGGATCATTTCTCAATACAGGCGCATTGCGATCTCATGATATCGAAGGCCGGGAAGGGATGACGAGGGGTGAAGAAGGAAGAGTGAGTGCACATAAGGGAGGAGTCTTTCTTGTATTTCACAGTGATATAGTGGCGTTGCGTGTGTAGTGGAATAAATGTAATATTTCCAGGTTCGACTTTTGCGTAAATAGTGAAGTAGTTTTATTTTATTTGAGCCATTCGTGCACTCCAGACAGCGGGCACGCGACTCAATTGCTCGAGCCAGCAGCTGCCAGCCACTTCTTTTGGACCATCCAGACAGTTGAGCCTCTTTGTCTACCGCAGTTCAGCTATTCACACGCTCTCAGTGATCAGTGATCATGTGAAGAATCCTCTCTCTTCCGTGCCAGAGTGTCAAGAAAGAGAGCAAAGAAATGGACTCGTGAATTGCCGGCAACGGCATAATATTTGTGATAATGAACTCTGTGACACAGCGGTGACTTTCGTGTGCGATTGAGTGCAGAATGGCGACAAGTGTGACCTATGTGATGACCCAGCCGGAGACTGTTCTGAGGATGGGCGACAGTGCCATCATCAAGGCCTGCCCGAAGCGTGAAAATGTGATAGTGAGAAAAAAGTCAAAAACTCTGCCGCTCGCAGAATCCAACAACACCAACATCGTGCTGGTCACGAACGAGTGCCGGCCGGTGAAGAGGATCAAGGGCTCACCGGAAGCCGTGGCGAAGTCCAAAGGCGCCCCTCAGCCTCTGGCCGTGGCCAAGAGGAACGCCCGCGAGAGGAACCGCGTGAAACAGGTGAGAAAAGTCGCAATTTTCCTCTCAGTGTCTTTAATGAAATGCACAAGAAGTTCATTATGTGCAATTTGCAATCGCAGGTGAACAATGGCTTTGCGGCGCTGCGACAGCACATCCCTGACGAGGTCGCTGAGGCTTTCGAGGCGGCTGGGAATGGGCGCGGAGCTTCCAAGAAGCTCAGCAAAGTGGAGACTCTGCGAATGGCCGTGGAGTACATCCGCAGCCTGGAGAAGCTGCTCTCGCTCGACTCCTCGTGCGACTCCAATCAGTCCTTCAACTTCCAGTGCGACTCCTCGCTGCTGTCCACGTCGCCGCCGCTCTCGGACTGCGGCGGCGGCTTCTCCACGTCCTCAGTGCTGGAGGAGGAGCCCACGCTGGTCTCCTACCCCCTGCCGGACATCACCAGCATCAATGGGGCGCAGTACATCCGTATCCCGGGCACGAGCACGTACCAGCTCCTCGTGGAGTCACCCTATGTGCTGGAGAACGAGGAGAACGTGCAGCCCATCACCGTCATTCCGCCACACTTGGGCCTCGAGTACATTAACGATCCCATCCATATCGCAACACCTGCATCAGTTTCACCGGGCGCCTTCAGTGGGCAATCGTCGCTCTCACCTGCCGATGGTGCCTTGAGACTCAAGCGCGACACGGGCCACTTTCCGCCGTCCCCCTCGCAGCCCGCCGCGTCCTGCGAGGAGTTCATCCCCGCCAACTACGCGGCCACCCTCACGCTCAAGGCGGAGCTGCGCGACGACGAGGATCTGCTGGACAACGACGTGTCCGAGGAGAGCATGATCGAGGCCATTGACTGGTGGGATCACCAGCGCCCCGAGGAGGCCGCCTAGAGGATTCCGGCGCGAGTCTATGCAAATATATCCCCCATTAGTAGCATAATTGCCTATTTATTTATACCCAAGATCGCCATAATCGAACACGCATAGCGAAAGGCAAAGTGTTCGCCGAAATGAGTGCCCATGTTAATGTAGATTAGGCATAAGGTGTCTAAAGATAAATTTACATACATAAGTGACTGTATGACCAAGTAATTAAGTCTAAAATATACAATTATTTTTACATACTCGAATTTGACTCGTTATCACTCAACTTTTGGTGACTTCCACGCGTCCATTTGCATTTGAACTCGTTTTACTTACCCACAAATTTTGCCCAGCGAGAAAATTGAGCAGCGGAAAGTGCGGTAAGTTTACTCCACGCAATTCAATGTGGATCGCAAAATGTATTTAATTCAACGATAGATTTGATCTAAGCCAAGCGCTTTTGCGCGCTGATCTTTGAGCACAGTGGAAATCTCAGGTAAATGTGTTCGCTGGGCTCTTTGCTTAGATTCACAAATCATATCTTCAAATGTCTTGAAGCAAGGTTTTGAATAAATCTTCCCCAATGACTTGTGAAGAATATCAAAGCGCGATTGCCTGCGTGAAGTTCGCGGTGCTCAGTTGGAGAAGTTTTTTCTACAATCTCACCTTTATGCGTATTTCGCCATGGAGGGCGATAGAAATAAGTGCACAATAAGAATCATGCGCTGACACACAAGGTTAGAGCTGCGAGTGGAGCTGAAAAGGACCCGTCAAGCCAGACGTTATTCATCTCTCTCTCTCGGGGTTTTGAGTCAAAGAGAGTTCATGGCGAGGAACAAGTTCGCTAGAATGGGTTCTTAATGGAATTCTTCTGTGATCTTCCGGACTCGTTACGCAACTTGCAGCCTCTTTTGTTGCCACTTTTAACCTCACGGGACGTCTGGATGCCTTGAACTCCGTGTCGCCTGTTTTCCATCCAGGTTAAGTCCACAGTTGCGATCAGAAGGGAAATTCTCACAGCCACAGATTGAGAAATTTTCTTATGAGAAAGTCTCTCTCTCTGTGCCGAAAGGTCGCTCGAGAGTTCGTTAGGCAGCAAATTCCGTTAGATTTTTCACTTTCATCCACGAAAGATCAATGGGAGACCCTCGTCAGGGACAAAAGGTCATCTCAGCTGGGCCGGGAGAAAAATCTACCTCTCTCTCGGGTTGTCCCGTGAGCAACAAAGGTGTCTTGTATTCAGGATGTCCCATCTCGATCTATCTCAGCATTAATATTCATACCGTCCTCTTGCATACAATATGAGCCTTGATTTCGGAGAAAATTCCCTTAATCGCCCCATTTGAGGAAGATCCCTCAGATCGTGGGAATTTCACGTGCAGCAGAGCGAATCCAGATCGCATGCAACTCCTTGGAAAGTACCTGAAAGTTGGGGTGCTGACGAACTTGCACAAATGACGTGAGATTTCGCCATGTGAGACAGTTTTGGAATGAAATTGAGGACATTAACCATGTCATTCCCTCGGAACTCCTTTGGCTGAGGCCTGAGAGAAGGGCGTTTTCTCGTTTTCTCTCTCCTCAACCCCTCGGCGCACACACACGTGAGATCCTGTTTTCTTAAATAACCGATGAATCGATCACGTGAAGAGAATATCCCTTTTTTTGCGCCCAGCGCAGAGATGTTAAAGGGACCGATTTTCAGTGAGAGCGGCTTTCATACCTTCGGCCCCATTTTTCCACAAATCAATTCTATGAAAAATTTCCTTCTTCGCATCGCCTTTCAATTCGATGACCCAATTTTTACAATGGCAACAATTTACCGCTTACATTAGCGGGTAGGCCTAAGCACTTTTACTTCATTGCTGAATCAGCGCCTCATTATCATTCCGCTACAATCGATGCATTGTGCAATAAATCAATTATACAGTGAATTTTTGTGTAACGGTGAGAGGTCGACTCAAGTGGCAGAAAAATAGCGCTGAGGAAGTAGAGAAGAAACTTCCTCGTCGGATGATTTGCTGTTTTGTCCAAACTTTATATCGCCAGTGCCTTTAAAAATGCCATTTTCAGCATCTCAGCAGAATCCACAAGAGCCGAAAATCTTCAAGAAGCACACAGAGATCATCCTCGGGGTCAATTTGATGTGCGCCTCGCCTCCCGAAGATTGCTCAACCCTCGATGGGAAAACCGTCAAAAGAGAAAAACTCACCGCCGAGTTCGCGCACAGTAAATTATTTATTTACACGTTCACATCATCCCTCAGGGGAGCAATTCCCATCGTGTCGCTCACGATGCGTCCAGAACTGCTGGTGAGAAATGCGTGATTTACTCATGTGCTCGACCCCATTTGTCGGCGTGGGGCGGCTTTTTGTGCGCCAGCAGTGAGCATGAAATGCAAATTCCACTCCCTTTCACGCATGAGTTGATGTTTGAGGAAAAAGGACTCGGCCCGGGATTTTAATTACATGCGCATATCATTTTGGACCTTTTTCACCGCTCCTGGAGGTCCCTTTTTGTGCACACTCGAGTTCCAGCCTCTCGAGTGTGAAAAACGGCCGCGAGAATGTGCGTTACTCTTCCTGGCAATTCAGGCGCACCATGGGAAGTGATTTGGGTGCCAAAAGGCGGATCAGACAGAATTTGCACTGAAATTAAACCGCCGAATGCAATTTTATGTGTTAATATTCGATGCTTCAATGTCTTAATTTCCATAATAACTCCACCTCGATATTGATTCAGTGCTCAAGTGTGGAAAAATTGCACTTCCGGGCTTTTAAAAGTCGACAAACACGGCACAAGAAGTGCACGAAAAACACTACAAACAGGTTAGATGGATGGGGAATTGTTGGTGTGTGAGGCTGAAATGGGAAAAAAGGGAGATTGGAAATATGAAAATTTTGAAATGTTTTCTCCATATGTCACATTTATTCACAACTGATGCGAGAAACATTTGGTCTTCTCAAAAATTGAGAGCACAACTCCAACAAATTCAATATCCGCTGATGACGAACGCTCCAGAGCTGAGATTTAGGGCACGAACTCTTCTCAAATTCAGGACAATCTATGCGACTTTACACACATACAAGATTCAAAATGACGATTGTGTGAAAATATTCACCACTTGTGTTATTTGCTATTCTGGTCCACATGTATTAAACCATTTTATATCGCCCGAATGTATTAATATTAACACAACCTCCAAAAGTTGTTTCATTGAATGAGTAAAAAGCAGAATAACAGATTTGAATCTGCAAATATCTTGCAAAAATGGATCAATCCGTCATTGTGACTCTCATTTTGAGGCATAAACATGAAGGATATTTGCTGTAAATTCTTTTTATCGTAGATTTACTAAATATTTACTTGAATTTTAATGATTTAGGCAAATTTCACCAATTTTCCTCTCTTACACATTGTGGAATCTTGTTTAAACCTCTAAAACATTGTTTTAGCGAGAAAAGCACTTTTTCCTTATTCATTTCGAATGTTATAAATTTTTTCATGTTTGAAGTATTAACATTGCCCAAAAGTCAGCATTAACAACGTGACTATTCCTCAGAAACCTGAAGTCAAGTACCTTGGCCTTCATCTAGACAAGCGACTCACATGGAAAAGCCACATCAAAGCGAAAATCCAGCAGATGAAGCTGAAAATGAGCTCCCTTTATTGGCTCGTCGGTAAGAGATCGAGTGTGTCTCTGCATTCTAAAGTGATGCTCTACAAGGCCATGATTGTTCCAATCTGGACCTACGGTATCCAGATTTGGGGCTCTGCCAGCGAGACCAATTTAAATATGCTTCAATGCTACCAGTCTAAAGTTTTGCGGAGATTAGCAAACGCTGACTGGTATGTGACCAACGAAGTTATCCATAGAGATCTTCAAGTCCTGAATGTCAAACAGCAAATCCTACGGCTCAGCCCCCGCTATATCCACCAACTGGAAGTCCATCCTTATACCCTTGCCGCTCACCTGCCTACCACCAGGAGATACCGGCGCCTTAAACGTGTCGATCCTCTTGACCTTCCGTCTCGTTGGATCCCAGATTTATAAGTATTATAAATTTAGTGAGTTTTTCATGGTAATGTCAGCATTGGCTGTTCATTTCCACTATAACATTGTGATGTTCCCCTATGTGATTACATTTACTGAATGTCCTCGGACAGTTTGTAAATAAAGTTGTGAAACGGCAAAAAAAAAGTATTAACATATCTGTGTGTGATTCAGAATTGCTCCATCGTTTGCAATATTGTCAGAGGAATAACCCTAATTAATACTATATAGAGAGTCCTTCATCTGTCCTGGCAACGCAGAGACGTTCAGTCACTCTCTGCACAGCTTCGGAATGCAAGACATTGATTTCGTCTTCCAGTGCAAGAAGTTCCCATCCTCTCGAGTCACCCTCTTCTCGGGAAAAAAGCGTGCACGATGGCGAAAATGCTTTTACGAGTGAGTCTATTTTGGAGTGTCTGCTACGCAAAAGCATGTCCCTTTATGAATGTGCCGTGCAAAGAGACGAGGGATGAAAAACGATCCACACGTGTTGAATGTTTGATATTCCATTCCCATTCTCCACCCTCGACGATCACTCAAGAGCGCCTCAGCATTTCTGAGCCACTCCAGATTTTATTGAGAGATCGTCTGCTTGAGATTCAACTTATCTCATCCACTACAAATTTTTATGTGCAAATTCTCCGGGAGAAAATGCTACAACTCAAGTGGCGAGAGGATAATTTTTATAGCATTGCACAAGAGAGATGCTTTCGAAAGAGTGGTGAAAATTTTCATGTGAGCAGACACACTTTTCCATATGGCACAAATTAATTGCATATGGAGGAATGTCTGAGGAGGGTGATGCCCAACTTGTGGATATCTAGTAACCATTTTTTCCCCGTTCAGACGCATCGAGAGGTTCCCAAGAGCCACAGGTCGTTGCACACGTCTCACATCTGGTATTCCAGTCACAGGAGGACTCTGTCTCAGTGCGTAAAAAGTCACAGACATCTTATTACACTTGGTCCACTTTTTTCCCATCGACTTCACCCCGTGCGTCCAGATAATTGGACTCACTTTGGGATTGCACACTTAATTGCCACGATTGATTGGCGCAAGAGCTGCACTCGTCTTTTCATCTTCACGCTCAGGGAAACACCTCAATCTGCCTCCCAAAAGAGTCCTTTTTTGCCAGCCAAATCTCGTTACGCGGCAACTCCCTGATTTACACTCTCTCAGCGCGAATGGGTCGTAAATCGATTTCTAATGAGCTCCAAAGTCTAAAGAGCCCCAAATTGGTGGCTTTGCCTATCGAATCGCCACGGCGTATCCGCCAAACAAGGTGTGAAGATGCGCGCAGATTGAGACGATGGAGGCCACATTACCGCTCTCATTACACGCCTAATGACCCCCCTGAAGAGGGCAGAATGTGAGGATATTATAAAGCTGTGAGTGTTCGTTTGCAAATTGCATCCTAAATTCAATTTAATATCCCTCTTTTATAGATCATCTCGCGCGCAATCGAGTCATGATCGAGCACAGAGTTGGTAATTGGCGCGAAAGCCGGGGCAGATTAGGAGTGCTCTTGGCAGGATTCTCCCAGCTTCTGGCACTCTCGCAACTCTGATCTCTGGGCGAGTGATCGCTGGCTGAGCACTGTTTTTATTGTTATTTAGATTCACGGTGTGATTTTTTGCTCATTCATCTCAATCGTCAGTTATTGCCAGCGCAGAAGAGGCGCGTTTTTGCCCAGGGAATGTAAAATGAATGAAGGGAGCGGAAGTGAATTGAATTGCTACTGGTCCATGAAATATGCACACGGCCAACGCCAATTGCACCGCGTCCTCGAGTGGGATTTCTTGTGATCGTGTGCGCGCCACTTGAATAAATTCCCCCATTTCATGAGCTCCACGGCGACAAACGCGACCAACGTGCAAATAGATGACAACTAATTGTACATTGAACTCCAACTGTGCACAATCACAGCTCGGTGGACATCTCTTGTGGAGTCTGTGCGGCCTTTGTTCGGCCTCAATATTACCTGTGTCTCGAGAGCACCCTCGCCATCAGATCACATGTGTTGTTGCCGCACTCGAGCGTGGCTCTGCCTCCAATTTCGCATATGGTTTCTCGCTGCAAGACGGCACACGAGGAGGGAGGCAAAAAAACCGCACCTCAAGACCTCCTTTCGGCCTAATGAGTCGCTCCTGCCCTGTGACTATGAATAATGTGTGCGGGACTCGCCGTGAACCCGAGACGCTCGCATATGCAAAATCCATTGAGAGCATCAAATGATGTGACAGACAAAGAGATCTCTTTTCACAATCTCAAGTCTCGTGGCAGTGCGGCTGGTGCCTTCGCTCTCCGGTTTCAGGATCGCGGGTGGAGAGAGGCCTGAATCACTCTAGCAAGTAATTAAATTTAAATTTTATTTAGTGCTCATTCACTATCAGAGATTCATAGAATTGTAATAATTCTTCTTAGATACTAAATTTTGGGGGAAAAGAGATCCTCTTTTGGACGGATTAAAAACCATCTCAATCCTTCTTATTTAACATCGCAAAAACATAAGTCTATGTGGAGTTCAAATGTAAGTTTGGGGTCTAATATGATACCAATTTGGCTGCATTTTTGCTGGATTTTCGAGCCTTTGCAGGGAAAACACAGCAAAATATTCCATTCTCAACAACACGATTTATTCATAAATGAATCATTTCAGCCAATATTCGGCAAAAAATGCCTCACTTCCGGATATTACGATAAATTTCTACAACACGCGCGACCAACGTTTTCTCGATGTGTGTTTTCTTCCGTGGTAAACAAGGTTGAAAGAGTGTTTTTGTCCCTCGCAGTCTATATGCAATAAACATATCTGGGAAATTATTTACTCTTTTTCTTCAGTCTCCTGTCCATTCTATTGTTTGGTATCCTTTCGGTTTCGCCTCGTCAGTCACCCTAGAATTTCCACGCTTCTCTTGGTGCCCATGAGAAAACCACCCCTAACAGTTTTTGCAGACACCAGCTTCGGGCCTCGAGGGAGAGACAAGTTCGATATATTCTCCCATTCGGGGCGAATTCACAGGAGTGAAGATGAGTTTTGAAACTCGATACGAAAACCAGAAGTGGCAGGAAGTTTGTGTTTCTTGATTTTTTTCTCCTCCGCACTTCTTGTTTAACCAAGTCAGAAGAATTCCCCGAAACTTCCTCTCGCCGTGCAATCAGAGACCCATCAGGGAGGCCAAACTAAACCACAATTAATTTATATTGCGCCAATTATGGATGGAGAAAATGCGTTAGTGCGGAGAGAATGTAACCGAAAAAAAGGTCCGAAGGGTGGAAGTCGATTGGGAGAATTATTGCATGACGCAGAACAATTCAGCGCTGGCATAATGCTGTCCTAATTGAACCATCATTGATTAGAGGTTTCCGTGAGAAGAGACAGATGGAGATATTTGAGGGACAATCACCCTCTGCTCGCCAAGGATTCCCACACAACTTCGGACAGTGTGGCTAATGAAGCTGAGAGGATGTTTATCTCGCAGCGATTATCACTCAATTTGCACGACAATTCATCACGAATTGCCTTTGCCGCGAACTCTGCGATATGCAGAACAGGAAGCATAACTTCTAAACATGTTCATTGATTGGGGCAATTGAAATTGGCTTCTCTGGAGATTCACTGAACAGATTCACCGCATTTCCAAGATCACTGTCACTGTGAGAATGCTAAGAATCGAGAAAATCCGCTTAAGATGAAACGATGGACAAATTGAAGTCGCTCTCGAAAGTGTGGGCGCGAAGAAGTTAATTAATTTAACCGGCTTCCCATGTCGGAATATCTTTATTTACGACACTCTCTGCGCTATTACAATATTTTGATACATTTCCATTGACTGGACGATGTCATGCGGGCACAAATTGATGCTGGACGAAGAATAGAAGCGGTCCAATCGATGGGATTTTTTGGAAAAGGGGTCCTTCGGCAGGACAATGTGTCCTCAGCAGGAGCTGCTTTCCTGGAATTAGTTGCGCGCCACCGATTTCTCGACAGGCACTCTCGCATTCCGGGGGAGAAATTTTCAACCCTGCTGGAAATCTCTAAGAGAATTTCAAAAGCCAGTGATGGAGTGGCGCACATTCTGACCTGATGCGGGACATTTCTGACTCCCGAGCGCGATGCCACGCGGATAAAGACGCTCTCACCCTCATCAGTGCGATCAAAGGAGTGATCAAGGAGCTGAAGAGTGGCACAAAAAAGTCTCACAAAGACACGCTGAGAGAGTTGGAGAATAGCTATGCTAATTAGGACGACATCGCGCGCCAAATGCGAGCACTCTTGAGCTAGACAAGTGCTCTGGGGTCTGCGAAGGGTCGGATTTCAGTGCCGGAGCGAGAGGAAGTGGGCGGATTTTGTACCTCGGCTGACGGAGAAGCAGGAAGACAGGTCGCGTGTCAGTCGTGTGTGCCTCCAAACGTCTCGCCATCTCCCCTAACATGGGCGCGATATTGCAAATGACTTACGCAAGTCGTCTCAAGCATGCGCATCGCCAAGTCGTACAACTCAACCCTCGCCAACTCCCCTGATCGATGTTCTCTGCATGGGAAGCGCTTTATAGTGCAATTAATTTCTGCTGAGAAACACGGCAAAGTTCAATGGCGATACCGATCTCTTGCGGGATAATTAAGTGTTTTTATGTACACTTGCTGAGTTTTCTTGCCAACTTCATCACAAAATGCCATCAGAGCCCTTAAAAATGATGGTCATTTCGTTCTCAAATAGATTTCACGTCCAATTGGGACATCAAAAGAGCCTTAATTGTTTGCAAAAAACTTCACGGACTGGATTGAGAATTAGTATCCTTTTCATAGTGCTTGAAATTGAGAGATGTTTTATACAAAACTATCTAACTAACTAGGAAATGCCAATTATCATTTAACATTGGTTAGGAACAAGGTTAGGAATGGTCAGAATTGTGTGTCAGAAATTAATTCACAAACTTCATTCAGTGATAATGACCAAATATGTATTGGAAGTTTGAAATTTCGCATATGGAAATTCCTAAGCCATGTCGCAAAATTATGCCAATATCAAATTAAAATAATTCTCATCGACTTTTTGGGGGAAAGACATTGACCGAATTTGGATGGAAATTTGGCAAATTTAGGCATTTACTAATGAAATAAGAATGCATTCGTCGATTCACATTGAAATATTTCTATTGTGGCTTGACTGACACTTTCAACAAGTCTCCTGCTTTCGTCACTCAACTGGCATGCATGATAAGGTCACGAATCATTGACTCTATTGTCTTTATGAATTATTATACGTGAAATTTGAATTTATGCCGCGTAATGTGCCGCGAGACTTGAGCATTAACACGTCTTGGATCTTTTTTGGTAACTATAACGGATATCGATGACCAGCTCATGGACAGAACTGAAAATATTCTCTGACCCACGAGTGACCCCTGTGACTGTCAGAAATCACCATATTCTCCCCAATAATTCCAACTTCACTATAAATACCACCGCCTCAAACATTTCGACAGTCAGTCAACTCGTGCCGATTTTTGCAAACCCCAAAGACAATCTTCCGTGGCGAGTTTGGTGATTTGAAGGGACTTTCAGTGCGTGCAGGAAAAAGTGAAAGAGTGAAAAAATGGGGGTGGAAGAGACGATCATTCAGCATCCATGGATTTACTCTCTGGGACTCATGACAGTTCCCATCTTGATTGGATCCCTTGTAGCCCTAGCTTACTACTTCTACGAGAGGAATACAAGGATTTTCCAGCTGGGATCGAAGATTCCAGGACCGCCGCCAATTCCGTTCTTCGGCAACGCTCACATTGCCATAGGATTTCAGAATGAAGGTTCCCGAGCGAGAACAGAATGTGCAATTTGAAGATTAACCCTAACGTAATCCCTTATCGTCGTGCAGAAATCTTCAAGTTGGCCACAAGACTCGCCGATGTGTATGGAAATGGAGATATCGCGAGAGTATTCTTCGGCAACAAACTCGTCGTTGTGCTCATGCATCCTGACGACATTGAGATCATCCTCAACAGCAACGTTCATCTTCAGAAGTCTGATGAGTATCGCTTCTTCAAGCCGTGGCTCGGCGACGGACTCTTGATCAGTTCGGGCGAGAAGTGGCGAAGTCATCGCAAGATCATTGCTCCGGCCTTCCATCAGAACGTGCTGAAGACGTTCGTCAATGTCTTCAACAGCAACAGCAGGGCTGTTGTGGACAGAATGACCAAGGAACGGGGTAAGGTGTTCGACGTCCACGAGTATATGAGCGAAGTCACGGTTGACATCCTCCTGGAGACGGCAATGGGAACTGCCAGGTCATCTCAGGACCACGATGGGTTCGAATATGCCATGGCGGTCATGAAGTAGGTTCCCAAACACCAACCTTCACAGGTAAGAATCTCAGATAAGCACTCTCTTGCAGGATGTGCGACATTATTCACCAAAGGCACTACAAGATCGACTTGCGATACGATCCGATCTTCTATTTCACCAAAACCAAGCAAGATCAGGAAAAGTACTTGGGAACAATTCATGGTCTGACGACCAGAGTGTTCCAGGACAAGAAGAAGAACTTCCAGAAAAATGCCGAAGAAGGAAATCTACCGAAACCATCCTTGGAGGAGATCATCAACAACCCGAAGACTGCAGAAGCTGTTGTCGCTTCGTCGCCAAAGAAGGGCTTGAGAGACGATCTGGATGAGCAGGATGAAAATGACGTGGGCGAGAAGAGAAGATTGGCTTTTCTGGATCTCATGATCGAGACCGCTTACTCAGGATCCCACATTTCGGACTCTGAAATCAAGGAAGAAGTCGACACGATCATGTTCGAAGGTCACGACACAACAGGTAAAAGGGATTTCAAGGGTGTTTTAGGCTTCAAATCACAGCTGTGTTCGCACACTTTTAGCTGCTGGATCCAGTTTCTGCCTGTGTTTGTTGGCCATTCACAAGGATATCCAGGAGAAGGTTTATCAGGAGCAGAAGGCAATTTTCGGAGACTCTAATCGTTTCGCCACCTTTGCCGACACAGTTGAGATGAAGTATTTGGAGAGAGTGATTCTGGAGTCCCTGCGACTCTATCCGCCAGTCCCTATCATTGCCAGGCAGGTCAATGAGGACGTGAAGATCGTCACTGGAGGTCATGTGATCCCCAAAGGCGCCACAGTCGTCATTGGTACTTTTCTGGTCCATCGACGAAAGGACGTGTACAAAAATCCACTTGTCTTCGATCCAGACAATTTCCTGCCCGAACGAACCCAAAACCGCCACTATTACAGCTTCATCCCCTTCTCAGCCGGACCCAGAAGCTGTGTTGGTCAGTGATCGAGCTAAAATTCCTGCAAATCTTTCGGATATCTAATGGCACTCTTTGCCTTTCAGGCCGAAAGTTCGCCATGCTCAAGCTGAAGGTGCTTCTCTCAACCATTGTTCGGAATTTCCACCTCAAATCCAATCTCACGGAGGAAGACTTCCAGCTCCAGGGCGACATCATTCTCAAGAGAGCCGACGGCTTCAGGCTGGAGATCGAGCCGCGGCAGAACGCAGCGTCCGCCAAGTGATTCACTGTGAACGATTTTATTGCAATATCTCTGTAAAATAATCATTATAAGGCACTATCGCAATTAAATATCTATTCATTTAATCGCCTCCTCAATGGTAATTAACGTGTCGTTAGTGGTAATGAGGATAACTTAAGTGTTTCAGCAACCTCTAATAGATCATTCGCCCTGGGAGATCGTCTCGCGTGGTGTGGAAAAGAGAGCAAAATAGGGATTCAAATTAAAAGTCCGTGTAACTCTCTTCACCTTGAAAAGGTTAAAAATTTCTCTAGCAGAATTAGAAGAATTTGAAGCGAACAGGTGACAAATTGCCATAGAAATTCACGCAATGTTAATTGATTGTCTTAAGTAATTCAGCAATTACGGTATTGTGTCAATTCCCCGTAACTGCGTACACTTCTGAGGTGATCGAATTTGACTCCAAGCGCAATTAATATGGCATTCAATTAGAATTGCGGCCCATCAGTATAAAAGGAGTCGATTTTCGTGGAATCACCTCAGTTGAGTGCGCCTCTCCTCCGCCAAATCGCGCCGCGAATCCTTCTTGTGCTGTGATGTGATAACACTTCGCCCGCGTGTAGTGATTAGACACCCCAAAACTGCGTGAAAATGTCTGTGGAGTCGGAGTCAATGGTGGAGGGCCGTCTGGCCTTCTTCTCGCCACTGATGCTGCCACTCATCGCCACAACGCTCTCCCTCTTGCTCGTGTACATGTGGCAGCAGAGCCGCAGGATCGCCAAGATGGGCAACGCGCTGCCCGGGCCGCCGACGCTGCCCTTCGTGGGCAACGCCCACATCCTGGTCGGGAAGAATCATTCAGGTATAGAGAGTTCAAGTCCCAAATTTCGCAAAGCCTCGTAAGACTGATATAGACCAATATGGACTAATTATTTCTCAGATGATCAAAACTTTAAAGCTAGTTGGGTGACGCTTTTTCTTGCCATAGACATATACCTGAATCCATGCTTGATCCTTGACGATTTAACATAGCTCAGTCTGTGGTAATTCACCTATTAAAACACTCTATTTTCTGGCAACTTTGTCTTTATTCCATCTTTGCTTTCTTATTGTTGCTCCGCCGGCAAAATCCTCCTCCAACATGTCAGCCTCGTTGAATCAAAATCAAGATTTAACGCGAATTTGAATACACGGCTGTCCCGATGCTACAGTTGTGTGTTTAAATTCAGCAGAGTGCAAATTCTAGATGAAACATACGTTTTACTGTTTTTTACACTCAGTTCATAAAGGTGGACTTTAGAATCACTTATGGTTGGTCGGTAAACTGACAATCTCCCACCGTAAAACGTCCCTCAATGGGACGTTTAAGCCATCTAAGTAAGTAAGTTAACTTAAGATGACTGATTTACTCCGATTGGCTCATATTCTCAGATGAATAGAGAGAAAATGATTTGTAATAGTATAATTTGGATAGATTGCGGATGTTTCGAAGGATACTTGGCTAGTGCATTTACCTTTCTAGCTTCTTTATTGCTGAATAAATTCCACAAAGCGCAATATTCTTATGTAACATTTCGTAATGCACAACTCGATTTTCCTATTTAGTGTTCTGAAGGCAGTAAATTTGTATGAATCAATCGAATTCATGCCACAGATCGATGTGATTTCTCACAAAAAATCAGTGGACATGATTTCTCTCACGGAGACTTGCTTTTCTGCACTAAAACGACTTTTCTCAGACTCGAGAATAAAGCCGTGGCCGTTATGCAAATGCCGAGGTCACAGTCGCAAACCTCACGGCCACAAATGCGGGGTGAATTTGCAAATATGCGAAAATGGTTCAAAATGTGACAATGAATGTTAAATTAATTGATTTTAAAATGGTTCATTTCCCACAAATGTGGATCAGATTGAACTAAAGAAATCCTTGTCTTTCTCTCTGTAGAAATCTTCGAATTTGTCCTGGAACTGAGCAACGGATTCGGCAATGTGATCCGCGCCTTCCTGGGCAATAGTCTTGTAGTCTTTCTCACACATCCCGCCGACATTGAGATCATCCTCAACAGCCAAGTGCACTTGGACAAGTCTGATGAGTATCGCTTCTTCAAGCCGTGGCTCGGCGACGGACTCCTGATCAGTTCCGGCGAGAAGTGGCGAAGTCATCGCAAGATCATCGCTCCGGCCTTCCATCAGAACGTGCTGAAGACGTTCGTTAGCACCTTCAATAGCAATAGTTTGGCTGTGGTGGAGAAGATGCGCGAGGAAGTGGGCAAGAAGATGTTCGACGTTCACGACTACATGAGCGCCGTGACTGTAGATATCCTGCTGGAGACGGCAATGGGCACAGAGAGGACCAGAAAGGGCAACGAAGGCTTCAACTACGCCATGGCGGTTATGAAGTAACGATAGTGTGGATTCAGAGCAGCAAAGATGTTGATTTGTCGTCCTTTCAGAATGTGCGACATCCTGCATGCGCGTCACATGAAGTTCTACCTCCGCTTCGACACAATCTTCAACTGGTCCAGGCTGAGGCTGGAACAGGAGAAGCTGCTCAGTGTCATCCACGGTCTCACGAAGAAGGTGATCAAGAAGAAGACTCAGATCTACGATGACAACCTGAAGAAGGGCGTCCTGCCGTCGCCTTCGCTCAACGAGATCATCGCCAATGACACATACAGTCAGCCAGAGGTGAAGAGGAGCAGTGGAACGGAGAAAGGACTCAGGGATGATCTCGATGAGATCGACGAGAACGACATTGGAGAGAAACGCCGGCTCGCCTTCCTCGACTTGATGATCGAGACCGCCAGAGGAGGCGCTTCGAACTTCTCCGACGAGGACATCAAGCAGCAAGTGGACACGATCATGTTCGAAGGACACGACACAACAGGTGAGTCTATCTTCACTCCTGCGCGAGAGAAGGCTTCAATCTCTGCCCTCTTCCGCAGCTGCCGGCTCGAGCTTCGTTCTGTGCCTCATGGGATCCCACCAGGACGTGCAGGAGCGCGTCTATGCGGAGCTGAAGGGCATCTTCGGGGAATCCGACCGACCCTGCACTTTCGCCGACACCCTCGAGATGAAGTACCTGGAGCGCGTGATCATGGAGTCCCTCAGGCTGTATCCGCCAGTGCCGCTGATCGCGCGGAAGATCCAGCAGGACGTGAAGCTCAACACCGACAACTACGTCCTGCCGGCGGGCTGCACAGTCGTGATCGGGACATTCAAGCTCCACCGTCGCGGCGACATTTACCCCAATCCCGAGGTCTTCAACCCCGACAACTTCCTCCCCGAGCACACGCAGAACCGCCACTACTACAGCTTCATCCCCTTCTCGGCGGGGCCCCGGAGTTGCGTGGGCCGCAAGTACGCCATGCTGAAGCTGAAGGTCCTGCTCTCCACTGTCCTGCGCGCCTACAAGATCAACTCCGACCTCACGGAGAAGGACTTCAAGCTGCAGGCGGACATCATCCTGAAGCGAGCGGACGGCTTCAGGCTCTCCCTGGAGCCGCGCCGCAAGGAGAAGGTCATGTAGACACCCTCGGAACTGGCAGTTAGTGTACAACCCCAACCCTCTCTTTTTGTATAATGAGTGTTCTAACAGTTAAATAAATATGCAACTTGAGCGCCCAAAGTGGCCAAAATCTATTCCATGCACTTTAGTTACCATTCACCGGCCGCTCCTCCATCTCGATCACCGTGACCGAGGGCACGTCCGCCGGCTTCCGGCGCAGGAACTTGAGGTAGAGCACTTCGAGGATCCAGGGAACGGCGCAGAGAGCCATGCAGAGATTGAGACTGTGGAAGAAGATCGGGTAGCTGCGCGTGGCGTCGCGAATGTAGCCACTGATCGGACCCACGACGAAGCCAATGAAGCCAGAAATGGCCATAAACAGTCCATAGCCAGAGGGAAATCTGGAAGAGAAACACAATTGAGTGCCTCGAAGATTACATCAGTGGCGAATTTGGGTGCCTGTTTAACTTCACAGAGATAAAAGAATAAAACTTGTTTTCACTTGCTAAACCCCGACTCAAATATTAGCATTCCGATTAAGTCTATTTTTCTGCTCTTAATCTAAAAGACTACCACATGTTTGCACCGCGAGATAACTGAGAAAAATGTCACTTCGTCGGGATAATCTGCGATCTTGAAGCGAAGGAATTTGTCCAATAATCTCACCCGAGGGGAGAATCACTCGTGATTTCAGACCTTTAACTCTGTGATTATTATTTATTCTCCACATACTGCCGCCAGAGGGCAGCAGTTCAAACTTTAAAGGCATGCTGAAGTTCCGATTGTATTTATGATCATACCTTTCCTGCGGCAGATGCTCAGCAAAGACCAGTGGAAGTGTGACGTGAATCCACGTCCGGAGAAATCCCATGATGCCAATGATAAACGCCATGCCATTGAAGTCGAACACACAAAGGTGAGCTGCAATTTGGGAAGATCCACGCAATTATCCCAAAGTACACACACGCGAAGTGCGCATGGATTTGCATTGTAATCCGCACTCACCGAATCGCGCGGCAACCGTGAACGCCGCGCCGGCCATGTACACGTAGCGCGACTTCACCTTGATGCACGTGCTCGCGAGGGCGAGAAAAGTCCTGGAGATCAAGTCCGCCGCGGCGCCGATGGCGATGATCTTGGCCGCGTCTTGCTTGGAGAAGTTCAGCTCGAACAGGTACATCGGCAGCACGGCGAAGAAGGTGTTGTCGGAGAACAGGGCGAACGAGATGCCCAGCACGATGTTCACGTACGTAAGATCAGTCATGAGCGTGAGATCGAGGAAGTCCACGAGCACTTGCCACTTCCCGGCGGGCCGCTTGTCCCTCTCCGACGCGTCACTGATCACAATCGGCCCCGTCCAGTTGCCCAGACTGGGAATGCTCGAGGCGCGCCGCGATTTCACCTTCTCCTCCTCATCCTTGATCTGCTGCACGGGCGTCTTCGTCAGCAGCTTCTCCACCGTCACGTCCTCATCCTCGTGACCGCCCTTGCGGGGGATCTTGTAGTCTCTCGCACCCTCAGCCTCGCTGTCCTCCACCTTCACCTTCCTCATGTGCCACTCCACGGGATGCATCACGAGCATCCCCACAATTGCATGCCCGTTGAGCGCCGCCATGATCGCCATGCAGCCGCGGAAGCCGTAGTTGTCCATCAGCCACTGAATGACGATCGGATAGATCATCGATCCCAGGCCGATCAGCGTCTGCGCGATGCTCATGATGAACACTCGCTTCTCCTTGAAGTAGAGATTGAATGTCGTGTACGCCGATGGAATGATCAGGCCGAAGCCGATGCCTTGAACCACCGAAAAGGAGACGAGCAGCTGAGTGACTGTCGTCACGAAGATCACCATCACACTCCCGATGACGTAGAGAAAAGCCCCGGCCAGAGCGATCTTCCGCACTGAGTACTTCTTGAAGAGAGTGTTTGTGAAGAGTCCAGCGATGCTGAAGGAGCTGAAGAAGCAGCTCGTGATCAGGGCGATCGCACTCGTTTCCTCACCCAAATCCTTCAGGAAGTCACCAAACATGAGTCCAAACGACGGCAAAGTCCCCAAAGCGCACATCTGAGAGCAAAGGCAGCATTCGAGTATTGATTCTCCCGGTGCATCACGAGATACTTACGAGAGACGCTGCCAATCCCAAGCCCACAATATATCCCCATCCTCCCTCGGGAGTCACTTTCCTGTACTTGGCCATGCTTTGCACACTTGCGATCGCCTCGACGCAGCATCTGCCACTGAAGAGCAGCCAGGAGAGGAGCCTCCAGCCTCAGATCTCTCGGCAAACACGTCGAGATTACTGAGAAGCAACAGGTGACGGTAATAAATCCATAAAACCCACCACTCCCGCGCGAGATTCCGCCCGGCAATTGCAGATAAATCTCATCGCATCCCACATGCATTGACAGTGTTTGTCTAACATAATTTGCGTATCGGAGATGCCGTGATAAGGCAGAGATAAAGCCACTGTGTCTTGAGAGCCACTGTGTTTAATTCAATTAGTCGGTCCGAGGACCAGAGATTGATACAGCTTCTGCACCGCCGTGTGGATCATCCGCGCCATCTGCTCGTCCTCCGGACAGGACACCTCCAGCTTCTCCAGATCCACGTTCGCCTTCTTCCCGCCCACGCTGACCTGGAACTCGTCGCCGCGGATCATCTTGGGCACCGACTTCTCGCCGAACATGTCCTGCAGCGTCTCCACGAGGCACTCCTTGAAGTGCGTCCGGTCGCCCTTGTGCCCCGACGTGCCCTTGATCGTCGTGCCGCACAAGTCAGACTGCAGCAGCGTGGCCAGGACAGTGTCGGCGAACATGTCGTTCACCGGCGTCGCCTGCCACTCCATGATGATCACCTTTCCCTCCAGCTGCACGTCGATGCAGCTGAAGATGCGGTACTTCTTGTCCGTGTCCGTCGCCTCAACGCTTCCCGGACCGCCGATCCTCTCCAGCAGGAGCTTCAGCGTGCTGAGCGTGCCCGACCACAGGAGACTCTGCTTCTGTGTCACCACAGACATGCTCATGTCGGAGTATTCTGGGAAATTGAGGGAAATTATGGGTGAGTTTGGCCATAACTCTGGTTCTATTACATAATTGAAAAGTTATGACCCTTTTTTTGGCCCTTATTTCTAGGATCTGACAGGATTTAGCCCGATTCACGCCAAAGGAACTGAGAAAATGAGTAAAATGTCTCTCTGAGATGATCAAAATGACGAACGGAATGAGCTCCATTCAATAGAATGCCTTGAAATGCCTGAATTCTTCTGCCATGACTCACTTGAGAGATCGGACGCCGCCAGGATGTGATACTTGAAGTCTCTCTTCACCAGCACGCCGCTCAGCTTCTGATCCGCGTCCGGACGCTTCACGGCCAGCGTGCCCATGACTTTGGCCGTCTTCTCGCCCTTGAAATGCAGCTCCACCGTGTGCGTGTTCCTCGGATTGTAGAAGGAGATGAGAGTGTTCTGCTCCGCCTCGTATTCCCGCTGCAGCGCCGACTTCAGCCGGCTCATCTCGTTCTGCTCGCCGTGCACCAGCACAACGTGCCTGGGCTTCAGCAGCCGAATGAACTCGCTGGTCTGCTGGTAGTCCGTGTGCGCGGAGAACGAAATGTAGTCCACGGACATGTTGAGCGGCAGCTTCTGGCCGGACATCGTCACGATTTCCTCCGGCTCCGACAGGATTGTCTTCGCCAGCGTGCCCTCGACGCAGTAGCCGGCAATGATGACGCCGTTCTTGGCGTCTGTGCACCAGTTCTCGAACAGCTCGCGCGACAGGCCGCTCTGCATCATGCCCGGCGACGCCATCACGACGCACGGCCCGATGTCCTCGAAGTGGTCGATGCCCTTGAGATTGGAGATGTGGCGGAAGACGAAGGGATTGTTCACGGCGATCTGCCGCCGGATCTTGTCGTTCATCGCATTGATGTACGTCTGATACACAGCCATGCACTTCTTGGCCAGCGACGAGGCGTAGTAGATGGGGATGTCCTGCAATTCGGGATTCTGGCTCCAGTACTCGTCGAGAATCAGCAGCAGTTCCTGCGCTCTGCCCAGCGCAAACACCGGAATCAGACATCTTCCGCCCTGCGTCACGATCTTCTGCACGAGCGACGTGAAGCGCGTCTCGCGATCCTCCCGCTTCTCGTGAATGTGCGTCCCGTACGTGGACTCCGTGATCAGCACGTCTGGGCGCATTGTGGGAATCTCGGCGGCCATCAGGTGGCGATCCTCCTGGCGCGAGAAGTCGCCAGTGTAGAGAATCTTCACGCCGGCAATCTCAATCATGAACATCGCCGCGCCCAGCACGTGTCCAGCGTTGTAGGCCCAGAATCTCACGCCCAGCACGTCTCTCTCCTCGTGGAAGTTGATCGTCTCGATCTTCTCCATGCTCGCCTCCAAATCCGCCTCCGTGTAGAGCATCTGCTCGGTGGAAATGTTGCTGACTTTGATGTAATCCGACAGCATCCAGCGATAAATGGCCTTCGTGGCGTGCGTCATGAAGCAGCGGCCCTTGAAGGAGGTCTTCTGCAGGAACCACGGCAGAGCTCCGCAGTGATCCAGATGAAAACTGGAAAGAATCAAAGACTTTTCAGCTGTCCTGACAGTGACTTCTGGTCACTTTCATGTTTTCTCTCGACTTACTGCGAAATGAAGAGCAAATCCACCTCTTCGGGCTCTATTAAATCCACGAAAGGAAGAGCATCCATGCCGCTCAGTCCCGGATGAATCCCACAATCAAGCTGAGGAAGAGAAAAACAGATTCCGGGAATCAAATTGAGGTTATGAACAAAAAGGAAGGGAAATCACTACTATTTACCATAATTTTCTTCCCCTTAAACTCCAGCATGATGCAGGATCTGCCCACTTCCTGACCAGCACCCCTGAAAGGTGGGAAAATGAGGGAAATCAGTGAAAAACATGTGCAAACATTCCCAATCAATCAATGCAGTTTTCGGTCATTAATTAAACCATTTTTTGTTGATTCAACACTTACAGAGGCTTTATGAGCAGCAAATCATTCTCTTCGGCAGGAATGGGAGCGTCTGCTTTCCGTTTTCCAGCCATTTTCGTGGAAAAACTCTAAGAAAACCACTGTAAACAAATCAAATCTTGTTCTTCACTTGTCAAGCCCGGCGCGACTGAGGCGACATCAGCGCCGTCAGTGTTTGAATAGATGCACTTTGCGTATTAGTTGGTTTTCATATTCGCATGAGGCGCTGTCGGCATTCTGAGGGCTTCCGGAGGGCAAAGGTGAACATTTTGGTTATATAAAAACTTTCATTTTTTCTCATTTCGCCGGTCCACAATGTTCAAGGTGAGTTTGTCAATCAATTTCTCATATAGTAAAGATGCAAATTCCCTTTAGTGATGCGAAATCATTGCTGTCTTTCTTCCTCAGAACGCTGTTGCTCTCGTGACTGGAGGTGCTTCCGGATTGGGCCGGGCGACGGTGGAGAGATTCGCCAATTCCGGTGCCAGAGTGGTTCTCTGTGATCTCGGCACGTCGAAGGGCGAGGATGTGGCCAAAGGATTGGGGAACAACGTTGTCTTCGTGCCTGTTGATGTAAAATCATCTGATTTCTGAGGTTTCCGGAAGCTTTTCATCCTCAAATGCGCGCTTCTTTTCCAGGTCACTTCCGAGGCGGACGTGACGAAGGCCTTGTCAGTGGCTAAGGAGAAGTTCGGCAGACTCGATGTGTCTGTGAACTGCGCCGGAACGGCGGTGGCGTTCAAGACGTACAACTTCAACAAGAAAATTCCGCACCAGCTGGCCGACTTCGCGCGCGTTCTCACGGTCAACACCGTGGGCACGTTCAATGTGATCCGCCTGTCGGCGGGCCTGATGGGTGACAACGAGCCCAACGCCGACGGCCAGCGCGGCGTCATCGTCAACACGGCGTCCGTGGCGGCGTACGACGGCCAGATCGGCCAGGCCGCGTACTCGGCCTCGAAGGGCGCCGTCGTGGGCATGACGCTGCCCATCGCGCGCGACCTCAGCACGCACGGCATCCGCGTGGTGACCATCGCGCCCGGGCTCTTCGACACGCCGATGCTGCAGGCGCTGCCGGAGAAGGTGCGCGCCTTCCTGGCCAAGACCGTGCCCTTTCCGCAGCGCCTGGGCAACCCGAGCGAGTACGCGCAGCTCGTGGAGAGCATCGTGGACAATCCGCTGCTCAACGGCGAGACGATCCGCCTGGACGGCGCCCTCAGGATGATGCCCTAGAGCCGAAGGAGCCTCGAAAGGACCAGAAAGTGCATTTATTCGATATCATTGGAAGGGATTTTTATGTCTAATTAAAGTTGCTGCAATTCTTTAAAAACATGCGTTCTCTTCGCTCTCTTTACATTAATGACGCCACGGATTTTAATTAAAACATCAAATTCCAATAGAATTCTACATTTTCCGTCGTGCGTTCTTTGTTCTCATATTCAATTTTGCAATGCAAAATTGCACAAATTTCAATACATTCGGATCATTCGCGCAATAATCATTAAATGATATAGGATTTAATCGAAATTAAATGAACTCCCATTAAAATAAATCCGGTGAAATGCACTTTAAATAAGTATTATAAGCAATACCATCGAATTATCAGATCAGATTGAAATTTGGTGCATTAATTTTCACAAAACAACTGGATTTAATCTTCAAGTATTAAGTTTTTGTGCCAAATTTAGGGGTTTATTAATTTGAAGAGCTTTATGATCAACTACAGAGTTGCATAGATTTTACAAGAATTCTCTTAATAGAATTCTAGGCGTAATAATTGATTTTTAAAGTACAAAACCAAGAATTGAAGCGATTCCCAGACTAACATGTGTTCCTATTTGAGTGGAAATCGCTCCAAATAGCTATTTTTCACTGACATAAAACCTTTTTCTAAGAGATCTTGTGTTAAGATAAAAACTTGATTGCATATTCTGACGCAAGTGTATGAAAAATAAGACGAAAAAGTCAGTCATTTGTGGCAAATCTGAACCATAAAACTGGGTAATATTTTCGGGAAGTGCTTGTAAAAACCTTCTACAATGGAGAAAATAATTAATAACACGTTGCAATCTTCCGCATAGGAACTTTCATATTACAAAGCGCCACGCTCAATATGAGCAGCGCTCTTGTTATTCTCGCAGAACATCGCATTCAACATCCAACTGGATTCTTCTCTCGTGAGTATAGTTTGGTTGAGGAAACAAGAGCGCCATAATTTACAGATGAGCTGCAATAAAAGCGGAGAAAAGCCTGCAGCCGTTGGGTAAAGTGCATCAATCGTGGTGGAAATGGCATGAAAAATGCCAGAAGTGCTTCTAAAATGCAAAGCATTAGAACATTAGGTGAACGGCAGGGGCTCCAGAGGCTCAATAGGCAAAGCATAAACAAGGACTTAATGAGAAAATGTGTGCAGAGATTTTCCACACGCGTCTAATGAAAAAGTGCAGTGCAATATTCCTCTCTTGCAGCCTCTGAGGCACTTTCTTCGCTCTGCAAACACCGTCTTCCGCCCCTCGGCGAGGGATGAAAATTTAATCACTGTCTTCCGGGGTGAATTTCAGTCCACAAGACGTGCTCGAGACACTCTCGTTGGGGATGAATTTCCCATGAGGCGCCCCGGAGACAAAATGCTGCCACAGTGAAATGTCCGGACGGGCATTTTGCATGCGGATGAGCGTGTTTCGCAAAGGTGAAAAATCGCACTCACAAAAATTCCTCTGAAACGGCGCGTCTTGTTGCCCCGAGTGCGAGTGTTTGTTGCTCAGAAGCTGGCCAACAGCGAGGAGATGTATTATTTCTGCATTAGAACACAACTCTCGGACGTGCCTCGAGATCTCATTAATTACAGAGACCGCAAATGCTTCCGGGGAAAATCAATAGTTTATTTTGCTGCACGTCTTCTGCCTGAAAATTCGAAATTCTGCTTGGCTTTAAGATCCCATTCACTGATTGTTCAAGAGAATTACTATCAGCACGCCAGCATTTCTGACAACACTCAGTAAAGTAGTATTCTTGGACCAAGAAATTAATATTCTTCAAAATAATTTCGCGAAAAAGTCTTGAAATTAGCCTGAATCAACCTAATTTCAAGTCCTTTTTGATTATCATGGTGTAATTATTCTTATATTTCTTCGTAAATTAATGGATTCATGGAGAAAATTGACTTTACTTTGGTTCAGACTAGAAAAAAGATGTTTTTCTGCACTTTTTGTCTAAAAACAAAGAATTATCTACATAATTCTTAAACTTTCTCGTGAAAAAAAGGAATTTCCTTAGCGAAAAATTACTTATTCTAAGACTGAAACAATTTTGAATTAATACTGAAGGAATTTTGAATTTGCTTAAGTATTAGAAGGGAATTCAAGGAATAAAAAATCATAATTGTTTTCTAGCCCGAAAAAGGATATTTTTTGGTATATTTTTAAAATCTGGGCTAGACTTGAAATCATGCTAAAATACTTATTTGTAGTTCACTTTCTTCAGAATAAAATAAATTGAAGCCGAACAGACTTGATTTTGGTCTTTTCCGTTTAAAATCACCACGAAAATCTTCGTATTCGATTTTCAACAAGGTTTTCAACATGATTATTCTTGGATATTTGCCAAAATTGACTAAATTCTAGTCCAATTTTTCTCCTTTTCCTCTCAGCTGAGATTTGTAAGCTTTTCGAGCATTTTCCTCTTGATTTTCCTTAATTCTCCACAGCAAATTAATATCATTCATTCCGAGACCATAAAAGAAGCTTCTTGTTTGTGCTCTGAACACTTCTGTACTGATGGAATAACTCTCTTCAAATTCACATGCTTATTGCGAGCTCTCTCATTATGCACTTGCAGTTAAAGTGATAATTTGCTAGGAAAGTTTAAAAAGCAAACTTTCAGAAGCTTATCACTTGCCGAGGAGCATTGCAAGTAGGTGAATAAATATTAAACAAAGTCACTAACTTTGAAGCTTTGCAGCGAATGGAGAGCAGCATCAAAGAGTTGAGCTTTCAGAGGCTAAAGCTCGTGTGGGTATTGATTTCGTCAGATATAGCATTAAAAGTCCGCTGGTGGAAGGGGGGGGGGAAAAGAGAGTGGGGGAGAAAATGTGCCGGAAATTGTCAAAAAAGATCCTGAGGAAACTTTATAATGCATTCAAATTAATTTAAATTCGAATTCGTGTGAAGTGTGTGCGATGAAATGCTGGGAATTTCGACCTGCCACGGCTTCAGAATTCCATCTCATGAGGATGTCGGGAGGCAAATTTAATCTGGTCGACTTGAAGATTAAAGACCCGGTGTGGATTCGCCATTTCCGCCCCCTGTTTCGCCACCGAAGCCCCGATGCATATTTTATTATTCCATAAATCACCCAAATAGACCCCTGACAATACTATTAATAATGGACGGGAAGCCGGGGGCCATCACTCAGGAGTGCCCTAATCGAATTACGGGCAGCCTTTGACGCTCCACGGACAGCCCAGAGGATCACCAAGAGTTGCATGGCGTTGGAAGAGTGGATTTGAGAGTGCATGAATTGGACTAATTGGGAAATAATGAGCTCCAAGGCTGAATTACCCGTCAGATGATCAATTTTTAATCATCGCCACACTTCTCACGGCACAGCCAACGAAAATCCACCCCGGAGAAGAAGAGGTCATGGCATTTAATTACAGCAATTCACCAAACTTTCTGCGCTTTCCCAGGGAAACCTGTGGAGAGTCATCCGGTTTGTGCACAGTCCGAATGCCACCGATGGCGAAAGTCGCCCTTGTTCCCCCGCGGGGAACATGCAAAGAGACTCCCTCGCTTGTGGGGCGAGTAATTAAATGTCGTACACGATGAAAAACTCTGGCAATTGGGGAAAATGGGAATTACCTATGCCGGCCATTGTATGGAATCACGGTTCGGTGGAGAAACGAGAAAATGCATTAAAGAATCGCGCTGGCAGATGTGAAAAGCAAATGTTTTGTCCTGCAATCCTTTTATGTGTGTCTGGAATTAGAAGAGAAAATCTTAAATGAAATTGCGAATCAAGGGGGAGATATTACAGTCAGAGTCAGAGTTTTAAGAAGTGGAAGTGTCTGAAATTCCATTGAAAAGTGACAAAAATTCTCGATTCTTTGGATTCCTTTCGTTTTTTTTACACAGAAATAACAATTATAATAATCCTTTTTCTAAGTTATGTAACAAATCACGAACAGATTTAGAGAATAATTCTCATTCTAGCACATCAATTCTTATGCTCAAATCGCAGTGATCGCAATTTATTGGCAGAATTAAGCATTTTTAAGTAATATTTTAATTCTTTGATGCCAAAAAACAGTGCAAATTGCGATAGACTTACACATAACCTCAAAAATTGTAATTTAGACTTGAAAAATGTTGATTTAGAGAACTTTCTGCACAATTTCAACTCGAAAGTAGCAATTTTGAGTTCATTGGCAAATCATAGAAGACGATTTTGTAATCTGGAAAGCTTCCAAACTATAATATTTTCAGGTTAAATATCAAATGGAAGCTTAAGAAATTGTTTATAATTTGAGAATCAATGAAATTTAGAATTGTGAGGCACATTTGGAAAGGTGTACAGATCTAAGACATCTTATCCTCCCCTTGAATTGAACGTCAGACTTTCTCAACAGCTCTGCGTCTGACTGTAATTCTTATCAGTTGACTTATTCTCAGACTTTCCTATCACTCACATTTTCTCACGTCGCAATCAGTAAAGATACACAAAGCCAAAATGAGTGAAGATTGAGGAGGGAATTTCTCATTTCTCTGCGGAATTCTTCGGCCAGATGTTCAGTGTGAAATTGTAAATCTATCGCCAAAAAGCTACTTGCGCTATCAAGAGAATCACTCGAGCCACTCGAAGGGTGACAAATTGTCCGTCGCCGATAAAATGCCATCTCAGCCACTTACTCTGACCTGGCGAAGTGTCTCAGAAGCCCCCGAACGCGGTGGAAACGACGTGAGAAGCGAGTTTAGTGTCTGGCGCGCGGTGGTGAAGTGAGCTTAATCAGGCGTGCGGCAGGTGGAAAGAGTGCCAAACATGACACCTGTGAATTCCCCGATAAATACCGTGGAAGCGATTTTCTGGCTCTTGGCGCTCTCCTACGTCATCCTGGGTCTGCTCATCAACGTCCTGCACAGCTTCTTGCCGCCCTTCGTGCGCCGCGTGCTCTTCTATGGCAAAATCTCGGGTGACGAGCCGACCAGGGGTGGTCTGGCCGCCCTGCTGCTCGTCCCCAAGGCCTGGTTTCGCCACTTTTATCTCTTCGCCGCCATCTGGAGCTCTCTCGTCGTCCTCGTGACTGGCGAAGGACTGGCCAGCGGACGAGTTTCCGCTCGCTTCATTGGCTTCCTCGACAGCGTTTGCGGAAGTCAGAGAACCGTGCAAAGTGAGTTCCAGTGAGCTTTTATTGCGAAAATGTGCCAACACACAAATTTATCTGCCTATATTTGCCATTGAGCAGAAGAGAAAACTCATATGAAATAACATGTGCAGCAAAATAAATATTTTCACAAGAGAGAAGAGAAGGAAATTCTCGGTGAAATGCACTTGGTTTGCCAAGCACAAATAGAAGAAGCAAAGGAGAAGATATATATTGAGGATGTATTTTTAAAATTCATGTCAATATATAGGATTATACGGTGAACCCCTTAATGTTCTCCCGATCCTCACAGTGACTCTCCAGTCTCCATTGAATTTATGACAACATAAGTACATCGATTCCCAAGTTTATTTATTGGGCTAAATATAACTTTTCGAGTGACTAAAGAGTTTTCTCAGCGATATAAGCGGAAATCAATGGAAGTTATATTTATTTTCCGGATTGATATTGTTTGGATTCGCAATGCTTATAGTTAAACCAACCTGTTGACAGGCTCCTAATCGTGATAATCTCGTAATTCTTCCAGCCACCTCCTTGGAGACCTGTGCGGCGCTTATCTTGATGTACATTCACATCCTCGTGCGGCTCTTCGAGACTCACTTCACTCAAGTGTTCTCCAAGAAGGCAACAATGAACCTGATCCAGTATTTCACATCCTTCGTCTACTATTTCGGCGTGATAGCTCTGCTCCTGTGCCGGGGTCAAGGATTTGTCTCCGGAAGCAGCATTGAGCTCCGTTTGCAGGACTTCTCGTGGCGCCTGCTTATCTGCTTCCTCGTCTTCGCCTTCGCTTCGTACCACCAGTTCCGCTCCCACGGCATCCTAGCCAATCTGAGGCGGAACAGAAGTGGCAAGGTGACTTCGGAGGGTCACTTTCTGCCCACTGGGGGCTTCTTCGAGATGGTCTCGTCGCCGCATATGCTCTTCGAGTGCCTCATTTACCTCGCCATCTTCGGCATCGTGTGCAGGAACTCCTCCTGGCTGGCCGTCCTCGCCCTTGTGGCGGCCAATCAAGTAACAATGGCTTACGAAACACACCTGTGGTATTGCAAGAACTTTCCCAACTACCCTCCTCGTCGAGCGGCTCTCATTCCGTATCTCCTCTGACCTCACAGTCTGCAGAAACTTCCGTCAACTATTTCCGAGCATTTATGTGGAATTCACTGTGTTATGCATTAAATAAATGCTGAAAATCTTACACATCTGCTCCATTCACAATGATTTGAATATGTTAAAGCCTCCATTGAAAATTGCTTTAGCACTTTGTGACACAAAACACTTGCCCGATGGCGTAAAAATGAGGTTTCATTGCATTATAATGGTGAAAATATATTTTATGACAAAAAGCTTTGTCCACAAATTGCCTTGATATAATATTTGGGGCTCTTTTGATATTTTTAACATCATACAAATTTAGGTGTGATGCAAATTATGGTACATTATTTTTCAATTTGCACAATATTTTAATTGCCATGTGCAATTACAACCAATTTTCTGAGTGGCAAATTTCCATGTGAAAAATGACCTGGAAAGATTAATTATAATTTTTCATGTAGTTTTGCAGCGATGCATGAACAGCCATAAATCACTTCTATTCGCACACAATTTTCACGCCTTTCGGGTGACAATTGCGGAATCATATTTCTCTTTGTCACCCTCTTGGCGGTGTCGAAGATGAAAGACTCTCGCGCAGAGATGATACGAAGTCATCATTACTCTTGAAAGCTTTATTAAATTCATGGCCGGGACAGGATTGGGAGCTGTGCAGGGTTGAAGTACTGAAAGGACACTCCATTTGATTCAATTTCATCTTGTTTCAGCCCTTTCTCGCCCGTGTGCATCGCCGGGGCGGAAGCTGGGCGGGAGAGAGCGCGGACAAATAGCATGGCAAATGACATGAATTTTTGAAATTGTCTTCCTTGCGAGGCGCCTTCACGGGTGAAATGTTCTCGGCTATTTCTCTTGCTGTCCCGCGGGATGGTGTTGTTATGACGATGGATGGTGCGGGGCATGGTCGAAAAAAGAGCCATAATAGCACTAATTCTTTACACGCGCGAAACAAAGAACTTTCCCTCTGACCAGGCGAGCGGTGTGCGAGCGAGAGCGCCGGCAGCCCCAGTTGTTGCTCGCCGCCGCGGCGCGGGCGTCTGAGCGAGGCGGATGCTGGGGCGCTGCGCTGGGCGCGGGGGCGGCGCGGCGCGGGTGCGGGCGATCCAGGGCGCATATTCAAATGGTGCCGGGGAAGGGGGACGCCGGGAGCGCACAGCAGCAAAAAGTGAGCTCACGATGACGTCGAAACATAACAAGGTCCACGGGAGAGGCACTGAACATCATCCCAGTCAGTGTGACGTCGATTGGCGTGAGAAGGTGACGCTCATCGTATGTGACAATGATGCTCGACATCGACTGAAAATTGATGGGCGCCAGAGATGGGAAAACCTTGAGATTCTCTACACCATCACTGAGATATTCGCTAAATTTCCAAAGTCACCACTTAGCGGGGAAGATGAGCTGAAAATTGAATTTTCACTCAATACGATTCAATTGCATTTTCCTTTATAACACATATTTTTGACCTACAAAGCTTGAACAGGAATTGCAGAACACTTTCCTCCGAAAGAAAGTCACAAACCGATTTTCAAAGAATGATAATAATTAAAATTTGAATAAAAATAACCAAAATATGATCATTTTTCAAGACAAACTTAAATATTTAATTATTTAATGCACATATGGCCGCCAGAGGGCAACAAAGTTGGCGTGGGGGACGCTAATCATATCGAATTTTTCTCATTCTTTTCTCTGTTTTCTCACGGATTCTAACACTCTGTGACTTTCTAACGTGATCCTTGCCAGAAGAGAAGGAAATTTGAAAGCTAGACTGAGATTTCACAATAGAAAACCATTATTTCGTTATCAGCTGATCAAGTTCAAAAATTATTAGTTCGATTCCAACTTATGACAAATTTTTTGACATTTTTTTTTCTCTTTTTGTTGTTTTCCCATACTAAATAAAATCCACAAAAATACAAAAAGTGATTTAATAACTTCAAAGTTTATAGTCTGAAATCATGAGTGACTTTTCCCTGGATTTTCCTTAAATATTTGCTTTAAAATCATGTTTCAATAAATAATTTTCCCCTGTTTAATAGTTTTATGTGTTCTTATTATTGACGTTATTATTTAATTTCTCCTATTTTCTACCATTAGTTTCAGTATTTCTAAGCATATTTCTCTGCTGAGTTTTAAAAGCATAACCGAATTCAATTATACAAAAACTTATTTCCATACAAAAGCCATAAAAGTATATTAAAATAATATTTATTGTCTAAGCAATAACACTTTCGCTTAAATACATTCAATGCAATTGAAAGTTATGTGTTGAAGAGTTGTTTCGGTTTGAGTGCAAGGAATTCTCACTGTTCAGGCCATTTAGTTTAATTTAATATTCATGAGTTCTCCACTGTGTCAGCCTTATAATGAAGACTATAGCAAAAACCCCTAAGAAACACTGTCTAAACTTCTTTGGCGTGATAAGAAGCTAAAGTTTGCCGGTTATATACAAAAGAATGTATGCGTATATGGATTTTCGACTGGAAGTCGGGGCGAAACCGTAGAGAATCAGCACATCGTTGGCAGTTGCGGTGGAGAGAATGAGGATTTGGGTGTCATGGGAGAATCTATTTCTGGACCGACAGCGAAGTAACACAAGAGGAGCTCCGTTGAGATGGCTTGACTCTCACGCGTCCAATCAATGCACATCAGAGCGCCTGGATATTTTTCTGCCCTCAAATTGGATTATGTTGGACTTCGGGAAAGTGTGTGAAGAGATCTTTCGCAGTGCGTCGATGTATTTACTCGACTTGAGGCCTGGATTGTGGGCAATTTGTGGCGCTAATTGCCCAATATTTCAAAGCAAGGAGTGCTGATGTTGCTGAATTGCTGATGAAACAGTACTGGAAGCATTGGAAACAAATGGCATCGTCACACCAAATCAATTAGACTCAACCACCGAAGGATTTGTGATGAATTCTGAATCCTCCGGCAAAGGGAAGAGCTTACATTGATGCAATGCCACAAGCGCTTCGAACAAAAACGTCAGCAAACAAATATTTGGATTCCATTCAATGCTCTGTGTTCAATTACCTGATACATTCAGTGTGAGAGATAGAGAGGCACTTTCTTCTGGGATTGCGCGATGCAAAGTGGCCTCGAGAATTGGGCGTGCTGTGAAATAAAGCGGAGAAACTTGCACCTTTTAAGAACATGGAGATTTATGAAATGTCTGGCAGAGAGCCAGAATTTCTCTTGGAAACGTCCTCAAATTTATATCTTCCTCGTGTGTTTGGTGTGCATTTCATGAATATCGATACTGATGATGGAGTGACTATTAATTGACCTTTCGATCAAGCGGCAGTAAGATTGGAGAACCTAATAAAAAGTCGTTTTACGACGTCAGGCTTTTATGGAGGTCCTCTCTTTGGGGAGCAACTCCTAAAAGTGGCCTCTGGCAGAAACTCCGGACTTTTATAGCTATAAAATTTCTTTTAAAAATTCACTAAAGTCAATTTTTAGGCTGATGATGATATCTCAAACCATTTCGCATCCCATTTTGTCCTAAATTTCATCCATCGCGTGTCTATCGGAAGCGCCATTCAGCGGAAAAACAAGAAAGGGCGTCAGCTACATATATTCGCTCTTTTTTTCATCTGCAATGTACATATGTATGAACTCTCAACTTGGCATTGGTATTCATCAATGGGAGGCAGCGTGGATTTCATTCTTATTCATTGTTTCACCGCCAAGATGAAAAGAAGTGCGGCATTCATTCTCGTTTGCGGCTGGTTTTGGCAATTTGCTCAGAGGCTGGAAAATTCTCGTGGGACTCTTCGCACGTAAACACGACGCGTCTGATGGGTTCTCGCAGCTCCGTTGATGCCCCATATGGGGCCTATATCATCCTTTACGGGACACACACGGCGCTGCAATTTCGGCTGTTGCTTCAACACTCGCGCTCATCGCCAAATCCACAGCTTCGCTCATGCCGCATGTGTGGTTCACTATTCGAGCCACACTATTTGCTCGCTGTCGCTCTGCTGCATCTCCGTTTGGGAAGAATTCGAGGGTCAAAGATGTCAAACTTGGCCGAATGCTCGCCTATAATTGATCAATCCGCACTAAAACTGAGAAATGTTAAGCATTCCGCAAATGAATAGGGGACAAACAGCCCTTGCTATTCCCGCTAAAACAGTGTTAGAGAGTCTTAAGCCATTTCACATTGCGTTAGAGAAGTATAATTGTAAAATTTGACTAAATTATTAAAATTCAAGCAAACAAAATCGTGATAAAGAGAATTTAGTATTATCTTTCGCATTCATGTTTGAAAATTAGAACCATAAACACACATTTGGAGCTTCTGATCTATCATTTTAAAATAACTCATTCAGGCAGTACAAATTGCAAATCTCCTTTTAACACATGTGGTGAAATTGCTAAACTTTTAACACAATTGCTATAACCCCGAATAACAAAGAGTATTTTACTATAAGACTGAAATGACACATTTCTAACACTCAGTTTTAGTCGGAATTGATCCATTAATTGAGCAAATTCTTGACAATGATTTTCCCATCAATATGACAGAATTTACACACTGTCTAAAGATTGGAAAATGCCATTAGATGAATGCTGTCAGAACGTGCTTAAATTAGAATGATAGGGAGAAAGTCAATATGATATCTGAGAATAGCAATTTGAATATCCAAGTCCAGTGCATTTGCGAATGTCCAGTTTGCAAAATCAATATTTCCTCTTGCATTTCTAATGGGATTCAATTTAGTGTTGACAATTCAAGAATCTCCCCACATCCAGTGCTCAATATTTCAATTGATCAGGAGCTATAACTCCTTCGGCTGTTGCACAATTGTGCGAAAGCTGCCACTGGACTGCAAGCCTCGCCATGAATACACACGAAACGAGATTGAGCCGGAACAATATCCGTTCCATTAAAATTCCACCTTGATGGCCTTCCGCCGCCTCTTGTGCGCCTCGCCCTTTATTTACTATCGGGGAAAATTATTTAGCACTCCACCAGCCACAGTGGTGCATGAGCAAAGTTTCGGCTGATCGCAATTAACCCGCTTTTCGCCCAGCCAGATGAGATTGAGGCTGGGATATTATCATAAAGGAGAGTATTTGCTGGAAGGGTGGCTCGGCGG